GGAAAGGCTAGCTTAAGTGAGTGGGCTCATTTCAGGGACAATAAAGCGCCCAGCGGCTGGTGTGCCCGGAGTGGCCAGGGAAAGGTGAGTTTAAGAACGAACTTGTTTTGACACGCTAAAGAACCTGTAATATTGATAAGAGGGAAATAAATATACCGGCATAGAATTTTTCCATGCAAATATAGAAATTAACATAAATAAAGCTATCATATTATGAGTTCATTGTAGTCAGCAATTTTTTATACAGAATCATTCTAATGCTCTTGTTTGCTATACTTAATTTGGATTCATTACCAAATATAATTTGTCTTAATAAGGAAAAGTAATTTCCTGAATTTTTTGTATGCAGAATCCTTATAATCTTTCAGCAGATCCATGTGGGTCAAGCAGTGGATCTGCCGTATCAGCAGCAGCAAATATGGCAGCAGTGACACTTGGGACCGAGACTGATGGCTCAATCCTGTCCATCTAGTAACAACGCAATTGTTGGCATCAAACCTACTGTTGGTCTTACAAGCCGAGCAGGAGTCATCCCTATTACTCCCAGACAGGACACTGTTGGGTAGGTGCTATTAATCTTTTGATGAAGTTATTTTATTGGGTGTGCTGCTGCTCCAATAAGAGTATAATAATAGTTCATACTAATTTATTCTTTTCTATGTAAATGACTTTATCCATGTTCCTCTCCGGCTAGAAACAGAGCATACTGTTCTATCACCTTGCAGATCTTCTAAACTAAGATTTACCACTGGTTGTTTGTGGTCCTTTTATTTCACTAGATTCAACCTTTTTCTTCTTGTGGGGTGGGCTCTCGTTCTAATTAAAATTAACTGTGGCTCATGCTCTATTGAATTGAAACAGACCCATGTGCAGAACAGTAGCAGATGCTGTATACGTCCTTGATGCTATTGCAGGATTAGATTATAAAGATAAAGCAACCATTGAAGCATCAAAGTACATTCCACGTGGTGGCTACAAACAGTTTCTAAAGCCTTATGGTCTCAAAGGGAAGAGATTGGGCTTATTGAGGAATGTGTTCTTCAGTTTCGATAAAGGATCTATTTTTGCTGAAGCTTTTGAGCGTCATTTCTCCACTTTAAGGTAGCAAATCATAAATTCTGCTATTATTAGTTTCATCCAATTATATAGATGGGTAATTCTGGTTCATTCAACATAATCTGCTGCAAATTAAGGCAAGGAGGTGCAGTTTTGGTAGAAAATTTGGACAAATCCAAGTTTCTGGCTGCGTATAGCGCCAACACAAACTTCATATCTGTAGCAATGAATGCTGAGTTCAAATTGGCCTTGAATTCTTACCTAAAAGAGCTTGTGGTTTCTCCAGTGAGATCCCTAAAAGATATCATTGCATTCAACAAAAAGTTTTCAGATTTGGTAAGTATTTCAGCAATCAACAGACACAGTTATCTTCTTCACTAATGCCTTCTTCCCGAATTGGGTATGGTTAAACAAAGCTTACAGCCTTACATATTTGGTGCTGAGTGGAATGCTTGAGTTTTGTGTCCTGCAGGAAAAAACAAAGGAATATGGGCAACAGCTTTTCCTCGATGCTGAAGCTACGAATGGCATAGGCAAGAAAGAGAAGGAGGCACTATTACATTTAGCAAAAATGTCAAGAGATGGACTGGAGAAATTGATGAGGGAGAACAAGCTAGACGCGTTATTGTCACCATTTTCATTAGCTTCGACTGTTCTGGCAATAGGTGGATATCCAGGAATTATAGTCCCCGCTGGATATGATACCGAGGGGGTGCCTTTCGGCCTATGTTTTGGAGGACTAAAGGGCTCAGAGCCAACGCTGATTGAGATTGCATATGCCTTCGAGCAAGCCACTAAGGCTAGGAGGCCTCCTCCGTTCACGCCTTGAAAAGTGGAGTGGAGGGAGGTTTAGAGTCTGTTTGGTTTAATTTTTTTAATTAAAAAGCTATTATAGAGTTTGTATGAAAAATAATAATTTTTAAAATTAAGTTAAATTATTTGTTAAGTTATTTGGAAAGATAAATTATATAAATTTTAATTTTGATTAAAATTATCATATAGAATATTTATATCATCTTCTATCACTTAATAAACTAAAACGAAATAAGTCTATTTCGAATTTATATACGATTTCATGTGTTAAAATATTTAAAAAAATCTATATCAAAGACGAAACAACTCTCAAACTTATATAACAATAATAGTATTAAATTGATATGTGAAGAAGAAGTAGTATTTGAATACAATTTTGAATTTTAAATTTTCTTTTCTCTTAATTTTTATAAAAATAAAAAAAATATATTAAATTTTGTTATTCTATTATTGGATTTTGTGTTTTCTTAGTAGTGCTTGTAGGAAGAGGTAGGGGAGAGGGAGATCGTGATTTTGCATTGAAGAATGATGATTTGTAAAAATAGAGAAGAGAATGATGATTTGTAAAAACAGAGAAGAGGGAGATTAATGGAGAGAGAAAGAAAAGTATTTATTAAAAAGCTAACGTATTTTTAAAAGAACAAAAAAAATTCTCATCTTTGAGGCATTTCTTGAAACTCTTTTTTTCTTAAATTTTGTTCTTTAAAAAAATGTTACTTTTTTTTAATAACTTTTCAAAAATCTTATTTAGTTTAATTTTTACTTTTAAGAAGTAGATAAGCTGAAAAAAAATTCAGGCCAAACAAATACTTAAATCATATCTCGAAGCTTTCTTAAATTATGAAAAATGAAAAGTTTTAAGTCTAGTAATGTTAATTTGTTTTTTCCCAATCTTTTTCCTTCCTTGCCATGTCAATTATTTTGGTATGTAGCATTATCCAAAGAAAAAGAAGCATGTAAGATATAGAGGGAAAAAAAGTTTGGTTGAAAAAATAAAATAAAGAATAAAGAAAAAGACCCGAAAACTTAGATATATTTCAATTTGGTTTTAGGTACTACAATATTCGTATATGTTAAATTTGCATTGAGTGACTTGTTCATAAATTTTTTAAAAATATTTTGTAAAGAATAAAACATGTGAACTTTGTTGTTAATTAATTTGTGAATATTTAAATTTATAATGACATGGCAATGGCATAACATCATGTTTCAATGAAATTAATGGCAAAAAATATGACAATGTGGCATTTATTTATTAAACTTCAGTCACAGGTCAACCTAATAATTAAAACTAAAAGAAATCAATATTTTGTTTTGGATAATTCCACCTTCCCAATATAAATGATTTCATTTATTGAAATAATTAAATACTTGACAAAGTTTTAGTGATTTGAAATTTTTCAACAACTTATCAAATAATACCCAACTCATTTATGTTTAAATTGATATTGAATCTTTTTTTAAAAGGCTAAATTGATATTAAATTTTAATTAATATTTCACTTCTAATCAATTAATTATAAGAACAAAATAGAGAGGGAGAAAGAAAAAGCCTTTCCATGTATTTTAGAGAAAAAAAAAAGGACAGAAGATAATGCCATATATATTGTCTAACAATTGAATAATGTGACTACTAAAAAATTGTATAGAGATAATAAATCATACATTCATTGATAGTTATTTCTTTTGAGTTGTCAGATAATAAGTTATTTCAATTAGTTTTAAATATTAGATATATTATATGAGTTAGTATGTCATTAGTTAATTGTGTTATATAGTATTTCTTTAAGCAATTGTAATAGAAAATTTTAAGTAATTTCAAAATTAAGAGTTAATGAAATAAGACATTTAAAAACAAACAAGGAGGATAATTTTATAAATGTATGTCTACTCGCACAAATACACTAAATAAGAGCATAAAATAAGCAAAATATCACATATTTATTTGGAAGACGAATGCTTGAATGTTAAATTGGACTTAATTAACTTTTCTTGAACAAGCTTCTCCAAGCGCTCTGCCATAGAAGGTGTGAGATAATTGCTCCAATCTCCCACCTCTCCTTTCCTGAAGAAGGTAGTGTTTGGAACTCCAACAGGCTGCTTGCCACTCTTGTTAACCTCCATCCCTTTAAGATTCTCAAAACTACACAGCATAGCTATTTCTTCTACTACTCCTTGTCTCTCTTCTTCCCTTGAAAAAGGAAAACCTAAGAAGTTGGCCAACTTCTTCACATGAAAAACGATGTCTTCCTTAAGATCTTCATATTTTAAAAATATTATATTATTGGGATTTTCTTGTTTTGCCTTCCAATACCCTAACACATGATCGGAAAACGGTCCAAAGCCATGAATTCCTCGACAAAACATCTCGAAAGCTTCATCTAATGGTAGTGGATCTACGTTTTCAGATCGTCATTTATTAATGAAATGCCATAAAGAGATGAACATATCCATCGGATTTCAACAAATGTACACAATTTTAGAGGTGGAACATTCTTTAATGGAAGGTGGCAAAGAAGCATAAGGCGTATGGGTTGAAAAAATTCTTGGCTGAGGGATGTTTTCAAGATCCGGAGAATGGTTTTTCAAGTAAAGATCTAGCTCAAGGAACGGTACAGCTTGGTGAGGGCATAAGCTGAGCAAAGGGCTGTTTTTAAGTTCAAAATGGTTGCGGTTCACAATTGTGAGAATCAAGGCCTTCATCCAAGTAGTGCCGCATTTCGGAAGACTTGTTTGAAAAATATCATTATCAAGTGCTTGGAAGTGCTTTTGGAAAGAAATCATGGCTCTAAGCACCCTAGATGAACACCAAAAGCCTTGGTAGAGAAGAAGATGAGTACCATGCCAGTTTCTCTCTTTGGGGAGGGTTTGGACCAATTCTTGAACCTCTTCATCATCCCATGACTCCTCCGATCCTTGGGTATTTGAAAGTTTGCTTTTAGAGATTTCTGTTGCCTCCATTAAAAAAGGTAGAGCCAAAAATTGGTATCAAAGGATATATGACAGAATGAAGGAAGAATGCGGGAACCTATAGCTGAAACTAGTGCGATAATGATGAGTCCCCATGGCTTCTGTCAAATTGGTTCCTTGTATATCCTGTGAAGAATCATATGCGAATCTCCGTGCCATTGGTGTATATAGTAATTAATTTATCTTGTACAAAGTAATTCTAATCAAAAGATCCATTGGTTGGAAAAGCAGACACTTCGCTTCAAAAACTTTAATACCGTCAACAAAAAAGTGAAAAGATTATATAAAATACTCTTTATTTTTCATTTTAAAATTTTTTTCTTGAAAAAAAGAACCTTCCAAGCTAGATATGGCCGACATTGGCATTATCCGACTAGATATGAACGGATCTGGCTGCGCTTCCCTGAGGGACCCTGAAAATGGCACTCCCTAAGGACGTGCGAATCTAGCTGGACGCCACATTCAGCTATATCTAGCTTGAAGGGAAAGTTTTTTTTTTTAAGAACAAAAATTTTAAATGCAAAATAAAAATGTATATAGTATTATAATTTTTGACTTGGTCGAGGTTAAAATTATTCAAAAATTATTACCATAAAATTTTTTTCTTGAAAAAAAAAACCTTCCAAGCTAGATTTGGCCGACATTGGCATTATCCGACTAGATCTGAACGGATCTGGCTGCGCTTCCCTGAGGGACCGTGAAAATGACACTCCCTAAGGACGTGCGAATCTAGCTGGACGCCACATTCAGCTGTATCTAGCTTGAAAGGAAAGTTTTTTTTTTTTTAAGAATAAAAATTTTAAATGCAAAATAAAAGTGCATATAGTATTATAATTTTTGACATATTCGAAATTAAAATTATTTAAAAATTATTACCATATTAAGAAATTAATGTGAAAATCTTAACAATTAACTAATAATTGGACTTATGAGTCACAGATATTCTTTTAAGATGAAGTATCTATTTCTCAAATAATAAATTCCGTGTAATTTTAATTAAAATTTAAAAATATTTAAATAGTTTACCTTAAAATATAATATGCTATAAGACCCAATGGCATCACACCATAACATAACAAAAAAAGACAACATAAGATACACAAATAGCAACATGAAGTAGTAGCACCTTAGATTACCGACAAGCATAAAACGGTCAAAAAACCCTTTTAGTCTTTGTGCTTTTTAATTTTATTTAATTTAGTCCATGTACTAAAAATCAAAATAATTTAATTTTTTGACTTTGAGAATTACAACAATTTAATCTCTCCTCATAATGACATTTAATTTTACTATTAAAAGATAATGTCAACGCTAATATGTTACAGTTGATGATGTGGCATGCCACTTGGCATGAGAGTGATAACATGGCAATACCACGTGGCACTATACGATGACGTAGCAGTACTGACGTGGCACGACATGCTAACATGACAGTGCTACGTGACAGATCAAAAAAAAAATTTTAAAAATTCTGCCACATCATAAAGACTAAATTGATAAAAAATATATAGTATATGGACTAAATTTAACAAAATTGAGATGTTGAAAGACTAAATTAAAAAAAATATTTAAAAACTATAAATCTTTAAATAGATTTTTTATATGGTTATTAATGAACTAAATATTTAAGTGTAAAGGATTTATGATGTTAATATATATATATATATTTTACTAGTTTATTTAACTATAGAATATGTAAATTAATTTATATTTTTTACAAAAATTAAGTTTAAATACTCCTTTTATAAAAAAAATTTTGAAAAAAATTTCATATCTGAAGTCAAATTTAGATGAATAACTTATATTTTATACCTAAATAAATTAACGTAAAAAATTATAAAGGTTGATCAAATATTATCAAAATATTAACATAAATATATGAGATTTAACATAACAAGTCAATTATATTAAATAAACATAATTTTTTAAAAAATTAAACTTTTAAATTTATATTCTTAAGTTTAAAGTATTTAATGGTTTATAAATTTTAATTTATAAATGAATAACAGTAAGGATAAAAATAATCATTGTGAAAATTAGGAATTAAAAAACCTTAACATAAACTTATAAGAATTAACATAAGAAATTATAATGATGGAACAAGTATTGTCAAAATATTAATGTAAATGCGTGAGATTTAATGTAACAAGTAAATTATGTCAAATAAACACAAGTTTTCTGAAAAATTAAACATTTAAATTTATACTCTTGAGTTTAAAATATTTAACGATTTATAAATTTTAATTTACAAATAAATAATAGTAAGGATAAAAAAATTATAGTGAAAATTAGTAATTGAAAAACCTCTACGTAAAACAATAAGAATTGATATAAAAAATTATAAAAAGAGAACAAGCATTGTTAAAATATTGACATAAACATGTGAGATTTAACATAACAAAGAAATTAAGTAAAAATAAATATAATTTTTTAAAAAATTAAACATTTAAATTTATGTTCTTGAGTTTAAAGTATTTAATAGTTTATAAATGTTAATTTATAAATGATTAATAATAAGGGTAAAAAAATTATAATGAAAATTAGCAGTTAAAAAACATTGACGTAAAATTTTAATGATTAACGTACAAAAATTATAAAAATGGAACAAACATTTTCAAAATGTTAACATAAACGTATGAGATTTAACGTAATAAGTCAATTATATCAAATAAATATAATTTTTTAAACAATTAATATTTAAATTTATATTCTTGAGTTTAAAATATTTAATAATTTATAAATTTTAATTTATAAATAAATAATAAGGATAAAAAAATTATAGTTAAAATAATTATTTATTAAACTAAAATTTTAATACAATAGTTATTTCAAAATTTCTCAATGGTTAATATGTTTTACTCAAAATATAAATTTAAATGATTAATTTTAATAAAAATTCTGTTAATATACTCAAGTTTAAAGTTTTTAATGGTTCGTAAATTTTAATTTATAAATGAATAATAATAAAAATAAAAATAATTATAGTTAAAATACTTATTTCTTAAATTAAATTTTTATTATAATAGTTACTTAAAAATTTCTCAACGGTTAATATTTTTTACTTGAGAATTTAAATGTAAATGATTAATTTTATAAAAATTCTATTAATATGTTCGAGTTTAAAGTATTTAATAGTATATAAATTTTAATTTACACATGAATAATAATGAAGATAAAAATACTTATAGTAAAAGTAATTATTTATTAAATTTTTTATTATAATATTTATTTAAAAATTTCTTAATGGTTACTATTTTTTACTTGAGAATATAAAAGTAAATGATTAATTTTTATAAAAATTCTATTATTCTCTTTATTATTTCTTTCTCTTTCATTAATTTTTTTTTATTTTTGGTTGTTAAGTGTTCTTTAAGTTTTTGTCTTAATCAGTTTGATAGGTAAACAGATTGCAATTTTTTTTATTGATTAATGGCTAAAATAAAAGGCTCCAAATTTAAGTAAACAGAGTGCAAGTTTTTGTCTACTCATACACATACGCATATATTAAACAAGAGCATAAAATAAGTAAAGTGATTACATAATTATGCGAATGACAATTTGAATGTTAAGCCAGACTTCTCTATCTTTGTTAGAACAAGATTCTCCAAACATTCCACCATGGGAGGTGTGAGATAATTGCTCCAATCTCCCACACTCCTTTCTTGAAGTTGGCCTTGTTTGGTATTTAAATTATGAAAAATGAAAAGTTTTAAGCTATTAATGTCAACTGTTTTGGTATTTAACACTTTTCGAAGAAAAGAAGCATGCAAGATATAGTGGGAAATAAAAGTTTGGTTGAAAAAAAAATAATTAAGAAGAAGACTATAATACTTTTATATGTTAAATCTACATTTTTGTGATAAAATAGTGATGACAAACCTATTAATTTAAAAAATTTTCACTTGAAAATCATTTAGGATGTGTAAACCAACTTCACAAAAGTTGTATTTAATAATTAACATTTAGATAAAATTCATTTTTTGTTACTACTAATTCAGAGGATGAGAGTCACCAAATTAATGAATATGAATATAATAAATTTGGGTTTGGGGCATACCTAAATTATTCATAAAATATTTCAAAACTTTTGAAAAATTAATATATATATATATATAATTTTCAAAATTTTTGTGTAACCATTGCCCCCTAGCTCTTATGAGATTTTTTATTTTGAAATAAGATTACTTTAAATTTTCCTTTTACGTGTCATTAAAATATTTTATAATATTTGTGTAAGCATCTTATAGCTTTCCACCTCATCAAACTTATCATGAAGATTTTATTTATATTTTTTATTATTATGTCTTTTTCTTTTCATTTTTCATTCATTAAAATTATATAAATTTGTTAAAAATTTTAATTATAATTCATTCAAGTTGGAATTAAAAGAAAGAGTACTTTGTTCTTGATGTCTCTTGCTTCCCTTCTTCTTTTAGCAACGTATCAATCAAATTAATGAAAAAAAATGCGACGTTTATTTATTAATCTTTAGTCATATGTCAACCTAAACTTGACTCATTAAAACTAAAAGAAATTAATTTTTTTTATAATTCCATTTTCTGAATATAAATGATTAAATTTATTGAAATGATTAAATACTTGACAAAGTTTTAGTGATTTGAAATTTTTTAACTAATTATCAAATAATACATAACTCAATTATGTTTAAATTGATATTATATTTTAATTAATTTTGCACTTCTAATCAATTAAGTATAAGAAAAAATATAGACAAAAAAGTCTTTCCTTGTATTTTACACAATAAAAAAAAACAGAGAGAGAAGTTAATGTTATATATATTGTCTAACAATTGAATATTGTAATTACTTAATAAATAGCATAGAGGTAATAAATAATAAATTCGTTGATAGTTATATCTTTTGAGTAGACAGATAATAGATTGTTGAACTAAATAATATTTAAATTAGTTTTAAATATTACATAAATTATAATATTGTTAACATATTATGTTATTATATTTAATAATTTAAGTATTAAATTAATAATATTAATTAGAAAGTTAACAAGATATCATTTTTATTAAAAGATGGGAGGTTTTCAGATTACCACTTTAAGCTTTCTCATGTTTTCTAAAATATCTAAAAAAATCTTTAAATTATTTTAAAAAATTTAAATAAATTTTTATTTTTTTATTATATTTAATCAAGCTTTTATATATACACCCAAGTATTTAGTTCATTGATTGATGTATGATCTCTTTACCTAAAGAGTAAGATTCGAATATCTTTTTCTTCAATTAAAAAAAATCAATTTTTTATATCTTTATTTTGATTTCACCTTTTATCTTAATACTATGCAAGTAAGAAGATAAATAATATTTTAATTAATGATAGTTAGTCAATCATAAATCATAAAAATTTATCTAATTTAAAATAAAAACATAAAAATTTACTTCAATATAATAAAAGAATCAAAATTTATTTAATTTTTTAATAATTCACTGACTTTTTGAAAGTTATACCATCTTAAAAAGAGCAAAACTTGCTAATAAAAACCATTTTTTTATTGGTAATTATTCCACATTCAGTTTTATAGATTGTGATTCGCTCAATAGAAAACCCACAATAGGCAGGAGGCCCAGAGAACTGAGATCCATTAAGAGCCCAAACAAGTTCACTTCCCCTTTCCCTCTGACCTTCCACACTCTGGCGCGCCTTCGAAACGGATAAACCTTCTCTTTGCTTTCTCTTCCTTTCTCTCCTCTGAGCTCTGAAACTTCAAAATACCAAAAAAATAGAATAAAATAAAATAAAAATGCTGGTATATCCTAGCGGCGTACGAAGCACGCCGTGCTACTCTCACCCTTCGCATTTAACTTTCTCCAACCGTTGCAAACTGTTTTTATCTCCTAGTTGGCCTTGCTTCCTTAGTTCCAAAAAATCCTCCAAGTTTTGCTCTCTCTCGCTGCTTTTATCGAGAAATGGCGGTGGCGGTAACCGCTTTTCCGTTAGAGCTTTGCTGGAATCGGAAGTTTCCGAGTCCGTTGCAGATGCTGCCGATTGCGCTGGTGGTGGTGATGGTGGTTCCGGTATTCTGCAACCGGTTTCTGTGAAAATTCCGTTTGGAGATAGAGAGGTAAGCTCCCAGAACTTGATATTTTTACTTTTGTCATAAAAATATAGTAGTGAACGAAGTACTAAGTAAAAGCAAATGTTAAAAAACGAGATGATATTTAGTTAAAAAATGAACGAACTGGTAAAATGAAATAAAAATTTAAATTATGAATAATGAAATTTGATATCTACAAAAATTTAATTATTCAAAAGATTTTAGTATATTACCTTTGAAAAGTAATGAGCTAGTAGTACAAGTGACAACTCTGAATAGAACCTTAGCAAATTCAAAGTAAATGTGTTTCTATAGGAACTTGATTCTCAAAAGGTTTAGAAAATGCGTGTATGGTATGTAGTTGCTATTGTGAGAGTGGGCCAAAAATAAGAAGTTTCGTTAGAAAATGACTGCAATGGTAAAAATTATGCATTTTTTTCTAGCTCAGGTTTTGCACTTTAGGCTAGTTGAAATGCTGGTTTTGTTTTGTGTTGGTCCTTGTTGGTTTTCGGAATGATAACATGCGAATTCTGAACTCAACCTGATGTTCCTTTGGTTGATTACATAAGTAAGTGTTTTTGTTGCTTATTGCAGATTCTGGTTGAGACAGGTCATATAGGGAGGCAAGCTAGTGGTTCTGTAATGGCAACAGATGGAGAAACTGTAAGTGCTGATTTCCTTGGTATGGATGCGTGATGTGTTTCTGTGAAAACATATCAACTTCATTGCATTTAGATTTGTGTAATTGTTTTGTGCTATTCTCATAAAAAGGTTGCTAGTGAAGCATTTATTTATTTTGTAGATTGTATACACTTCAGTTTGCTTGTCAGATGTCCCAAGTGAGCCTTCTGATTTTTTTCCCCTTAATGTTAATTATCAAGAACGTTTTTCGGCAGCAGGTCGAACAAGGTGTGCCTTTGTTTGACCCTGATATTTGTTTAATTAATTACTTGAATGAATTTTTGTATCATGCTTACTTCTATTGCTTCAGTGGTGGTTTCTATAAACGAGAAGGGAGGACAAAGGATCATGAGGTACTAGTCACTGCCATCCAAGCATGAGAATTTTTTTTTAATTAGTTGACACAGGAAGCATTCTTGGAACTATGCACCTGCTATCTAATGTTTGACTACAATATTGCTATTTCCATTTCATTTCCAGTAAATTTCAGTTTGTACATTAGCATTGGCTCGTGTTGCTAACTGTCCAAGTGTCTGCAACAATGTGCAAATGCTAGATGCTGAAGAATAGAAGGAGCAGAATCAAATAACTGCAAATATTGTTCATATTCATTTCTCTCTCTGACACCAAATTTTGCTGGCTTTATCTCCTTTCTTTTTATTTTTTTAGCCAAAGGCATTCTCTTTGTCTAACCAACAAAGATTCATGATATTGGCATCGTTTTTATTATCATATTAGTCCATTGTCCTATTATTTCATCACGTTTCTTATTTTAAATTGGCCAAACAAAAATGTCAATGTTGAAATAGTCAATATATTTAGTGCTTAAGTATCTCTTATTACTCTGTAATTGTTACCGTTTAAAAAAGTAAGAGAATCCACTGGGCAAACTATAACCAGTTGACCCCTTTTTGATGTCACCTTTTCCTATTTTGGTTTCCATAAAATGAGAATTTAATTAAATTTGAAAAAATGAAAGGACGAAGCAAGTATTTCAATTGGACACAGCACTTTGTGTTTGAGGAGCTATTTTCTTCAATAACTGGATGAAGGCTGCAGTATTTTTATGTTATTTTATTATATCCACCTCTTCCTGGGTCCCTGATTCAAATGCCTTTGAAGTTGTCATTTATCTATTATTTGTTTACTTTCTTTTGTGTAGGTTCTTATTTGCAGACTGATTGATAGGCCTTTGCGTCCAACCATGCCTAAGGGCTTCTACCACGAAACTCAGTTACTATCTTGGGTAAACCTCATCTTCCCTCTGGAAGGAGTTTTTTTCTCTGTATGATTCTTCTCTTCAAAGCTTTGTAGCAGGCGTCTATATGCCTAAAGGGACTTTTATGAAATTTGTATCACGTGATATTGTTTTTTTTGGTGAAAATCATTTTTCTAAAATGTGATAATGTGGTGGTTCTTGAAAACATGCTGGCCTAGACAATAAGTTAACTTGTTAATCTAATTAGTTGTTTTGACTCTACTCAATAAGGTTTTAAAGCCTAATCATCATTGTCTAAATAATTCTTTTGCACATCCGAACCTTAGCCAAATGAGAAGTAACCAACCATTTTTTTCCTCAATACTTGAGAAAGCTTCATTGTCTTTTTCTGTTTTGTCTTCTGTTGAATTTGAAGGAATGCATCCTCCTTCTTGGGCTTAATTATTTGGTTTTATGCAAGGAGCTTAACGTAGATTCTGACTATTCTATGCTTTGTGACGTTATGATTTTATGATGTTATGATGCTTTGAAATATACCACAAATTGTTTACTCTAGTGCAAAACCTCTAGCATGTTGTGCATAACTCCCTTTATACAACTTTTAAAAAGTCATTTTTATTTTTCCTTTATGGCAATATTAGCATGCATGCCACTCCTCTTATTGAGGAAATACCAATATTAAAAAATATCTATTGTCACAAGAGTGCAATAATAAGCACTTTTTATTAAACTGTGTACCTGGTCAAAGGAGAAAATATAATACGGGACTAAGGGATTAGCACGGGGTGTTCAAACACTCACTGATAAGTTACTTCCCTGGTTCCTCTCCTGGACTTTCCTCCATAGAGGATGTTTGCTTTTTCAATACTTAGGCTACCAAATATGTCTCTCTAGCTAACTAGTCGTGTTAATATACTTGATAGATGCATGGTGTGCACCATGCCATTGCACTATCTACAGGTGCAAAGCAGTTAATCTTGGCATATGTTTGTTATAGTGGATGCCAGCATTGTCTTTATTTATAAATTGTTATACTATGAATAGCATGAGCTTAAAAAGATTATGGATGGTAATTCTCTAGGTGCTTGCATTTTGTGTTAGTATATATTGTAATGTTTGTGCAAAATTAGATAGAGTTAGGGATTTTTGTTGCCCATAAAAACAGATTAACTGCTGCAGCTAAATTTGACTGATATTTTATGCATTATGTGCTTCCCTCTGTTCCTAGTGCTTGATCATTGATGATTTTGATGTAGAATTTGAGGCATAGTTGCACCTGACTTATATATACTTTCATTGTTTGGTTTATATCCGTATTGCGCTCATCCTTTACTTTCAGGTTTTGAGTTATGATGGTTTGCACTCACCAGATGCTTTAGCAGTTACTGCAGCCGGAATAGCAGTGTAAGGGTGAAAAAAGTTTTGGCCTTACTTACCTTTGTGGCTTTTGTGACATGTACGGTTATATTTAGAATGTCCTTTTTAAATATATACTCATTAATTCCACAGAGCTCTTTCAGAAGTGCCAAACTCAAAAGCAATAGCAGGAGTGCGAGTAGGTTTGCTTGGTGATAAGTTTGTTGTGAATCCAACAACAAAGGAGATGGAAGACTCAACATTAGACCTATTTTTGGCAGGCACAAACAGTGCTATATTAATGGTTGAGGTTAGCTTTGACCCTAATTTGTTTGTCGTAGTATTTTTTGGATTGTGATGAGCTTCTGTACCACTTACATAGGACATGTGGGGCCTTGTCTACAGGATCTTTTTATTTTCTCCTTTATATTGTTTGTTTGTGGAAATATTTTGATTGGTATATATGCAGTATGTCTGGCTCCATCTAGATTGTCTCCGATAAGCTACAAACTTTACCTCCCACTTCTTGTCTGAAGTTGGATCCAGTTCTTACTCTCAAATGAACTTGTCAAAATGTTTCAGTTTTATTAAATTGTCATTTTCAGATGTCTCCTCTGATTTTGTCCCATAAATAGAATATGGCTTATGGTTGAATTGTTATACAGTTGTTGCATATTCTCATGTATAGTTATTTCATTTGGCATTGCAATAGAGCATTTGCACAGTCTGAGGAACAGTAACTGAAGATGCTATAAGACAAGTTTGAAGTGGAATAAGAAAGTGAAGAACATGGTTTAAATGTAAACAAAAAAATTTGAGCTTGTAACCTGATTTCTTAGATGAAACAGTAGAAAGATCAGAAATGTCACAAACAAGAGAGGCAACTGAAATTTAGGAAGTGAAAATAATGCGCTCACAAAGACTTGCCCTTTTTTTATTGTTGTCCATCTCTACAGTTTGGCACTTGGCAGCTGCTTTGAAAGTGCATACAACAAATTTAGGTAAATGTTACTCTTCTTGAAATATGTATTTTTTTCTGAGGAATATCTTGTAATAGGGTCAATTAATGGATAAGTTGCATTTGTGGTTACGACTTGAGTCTAGGAGACTGGAAAAGAGCACTTTAGGTCACAATCCATGGCATGTCATATACGCACACAAAAGATGCATAGATGTCAGGCTGCCTTATGGATTTTATTACTTTTACTATTTAGTAATGGAGCCCTTGCTTTTGGAAAGTTGAATGCTCTGAGGTACCTTGGTCAGAGAAATGGTCGATGCTCAAAGAAGTATTATTTGAGATAAAGCAGCTTGGCCTTGACAATTTTTACATATTGCATGTTTTTATCTGAGATTAAAGGCCATTTATCATGTCACATTGTTTTCCTGTGTGATTGTTATTTAAGGTTACACATTGTTATTCCAGATTTGATTCTTGATTTGTTCTTTAACTAGTACTCTTGATAAGAACTATGCCGTCTAAATCGACGTACTGACAGTCACAGATGTTTGCAAAAATTGTTCATTGCAGGGTTATTGTGATTTTCTACTGGAAGAAAAGTTGCTTGAAGCGGTACAAGTCGGGCAGGTTGTTTTTTATATCTGAGTATGTTGCTTATCTGGTATTTCATTTTTTAAGTCATGAGTTATCACTTTCCTGTCACTTTGAAGAACTCATTTCTATATTGCCCTTTAGAGTTGCTATGTCTTTATGAAATGGCATCAATACACTGCCGCTTGATGTAGGGGTGTGCACTATTTGGTCAAATCCAAAAACAGAGAGAGAGAGAGAGATAGAAAAAGGGAGAGGCTAAGATTTGAATAGAAGGTATAATATTCTGAATTTGGGCTCATGTATTGTGAAAGCCCAAAAAAGAAGCCCAAACTGAGTTAAATATTAAAGAAAGATGGAAGACTTGGTTTCTAATCTTATAGCTGATTCGTTTTGGTTTCAGAATACCTTGGTCTGAACTAAACCAAATTGTGAACACCCCTAACATGAAATATGTCTTGTTTTCTGCATGAGATACATGCCTCATCCTTATCCTTACATGGTGCTTTCCAAATAAATTACTTTACAGTTCAAAGGCCTGTTCTTTTCTTCCTGTCACTTGGATGTGCATATTACATTCAAATCTTACAGTTAGTTGGCTTGTCTTGTCATATCTTTATTTATCATCATAATTTTAGAGCTTTTATTTAGAAGAAACCATTAAAAATTTTATTAATAATTTTTTGAGGAAGTTTCGTGTTTCATTTTAAACTGATTACCTGATTCATCCTAGGTTGATTCATAATAGGAAACTCAATAGGAACGTTTGAATAGAATGAGCATTGTGTCTTCACCCTTACCTTTCTTGTCTGGGACATGTTCTAATTTAGAGGAAGAGATTTCACTAACTGGCGTATATACATAAATGCATATGCATTTGCAGCATGCAGTTTTGCATTTACGATATTCTTTTGTGTTTCATTATGCTGAAACATGAGTTGATTAGCATTTTCCCCTCAGAATTTGATATAAAGCATCTTACAAGGTTCACAATAAAACAATTAATATCTATAGATTTCTTGATTATTTCTTCTTGATTATAATTAAAAGCTTGTCCATTCACTAATACCAGGATGCAGTGAGAGCAATCTGCACTGCTGTGGAGGCTTTGGTCAAGAAGTGTGGGAAACCAAAAATGCTTGATGCAATCAAACTGCCACCTCGTGGGCTTTATAGGCGTGTGGAAGTATGGTTCTTGTCTTCTTTTTTCATCAGCATGTATTGTCTCTTCTTTTTTTAATTTTTTGAATTAATTTTTACATTTTTTTCTGATATAATTCTATTGTTTTTACTAATATGTGTGTTCTTGTCCAATGATGCTACACATATCTTATGCTAGTAAATATTAAATTTCAAAATCAATTGCAGAAGCTAGCATTTATCTGCTTAACAATTGAAATTTCAAGCAATTGTGGGTGATGCAGATGAAGCTGATTGGTTAGGGGGCTTAACTGTGATGCATGAACACTTTGTAGTTATAACTGGAGAAACCTGTCTTTCAATGTTATGTAGTTATGGCATTTTCAATAGTTCAAAGAGTGCCAGAAATATTTCTTCCGAAAAGGAAGAAATTGAGAGTGAAGGGGAAGTAAATAAGCACTAGAAGTGGAAATTCCCACCTTCTACAGAAGTTTTACAAAACCTATAAAAGGGCCGATATTTGGTGCTTGAAAAAGAGTTGGTGAAAAGTTGTTTTTCATCTGTGTTTACCTTTCTTCTTTCTTATTGTAAATTTCGTAATAAAAAATGTACATCATGGTAGTGCTAACTATTATTTTCTATAAACAGCAAATTGCTGGTGACGAATTACATAAAGTGCTGCAAATTAGGAGCAAAATACCAAGAAGAAAGGCCATCTCATTGTTAGAAGAGAATGTTATTAATATACTGACAGAGAAGGGATATATCAGTACAGAAGATAATTCAGGAACTGCTGAAACAATACAAGACTGGCTTGAGGAGGAAGATGAGGATGAAGAAATTGTTGTAGATGGTGAAGTAGATGAAGGTGATGTGCACATAAAGCCTGTTTCTCGAAAATCCGCTCCCTTGGTGAGTTGTGTTTGAGATCAGTCGGGCATTTCAATTGCTTGTCTTGTAAAATCTCATTAATGTTTGAAGTTGTTTCTCCTGCTGGTAAAACATTTTCCTTTTCCTGTTGCCCTATGATAGTTTACTGAGGTAGATGTGAAGCTGGTATTTAAGGAGGTTACATCCAAATTCTTACGAAGACGTATTGTGGAGGTATGAAGGCTTGTTGTCAATGAGAAAATGAAAATTTTGGTTCAAATAACAATTGGTGCAAAATAATAACTTCATCATTATGTATAATGTTAGAGTTCTACTAAATCTTCATGTCTCCCCAAAATTAATGGAGCAGTGACTCTGAAATTTGAGGGGACAGTGCTTTCCTTTATCCTTGGAGGTTTACATTTCTTCTGTCTTTAGTCTTTCGTTTTCACAATTTTTGAAGTAGTTTGAACATGAAATCAGTGTATATCATGTGAACTCGAAGTTTGTGTTACTCAAACCTATATTTTTTGAGGCCAATTTAGCATTTTCATTGCAAAAGCATTTTTGGCTTAATCTTGCAGATTAAAGATCGTATAAGTTATATGATTTCTATTAACATTTGGAGCTGATGTTGTCTACTAATTTGTCGGTTAAAAAAACTTCATGTTCTCTTGACACCTTCATCAGTGGACAAATCATGTCATATAACTCCAATAGTATCTGGTCAGCTAGTTTATGCCTGTCTACATTGAGCAAAAGTGAATAACCTTCTTTTTTTGCTTCTTAGGGATAGGTCTTTTTTCAGCCAAACATGATTCCTTCCAAGCACATCCACTTTCTTAACATTTTTTCCCTTTAAAATTACAACTGTCACAGGGAGGAAAAAGAAGTGATGGGAGGTCACCAGAAGGGATACGTTCAATCACATCAAGATGTGGCTTGCTTCCAAGAGCACATGGAAGTGCTCTCTTCACACGTGGCGAAACACAGGTTTGTAGAAGTGAGGTGATCTTGCCGATGAAATGCTTAGATATGCAGCTATTATCTTTCTGGTACTACATGCATGCTTCTCTTTGGGATATGGATAACCCATTAGAAGTGACTTACCTCTGCCAGCATATGACCGCTAGTCAAGCTCATTTGATATTTTGAATTCTGGTTTGGTTTGATTAAAGTGTCAGCCAAAAGTAACATTCACTTTCATCATTTTACATGCTTGTTTCCTGATAGAATTTTGTCCATTTTTTTTCTAACTGTTAGATTTTGTCTTTATGGTGCTTACTGTAATGTTTTTATTCCTTATTTTGTTTATTGTCACCCATTTTCTGTTTAGTCACTGGCGGTGGTTACACTTGGTGATAGACAAATGGCACAAAAAGTAGACAATCTAGCGAATGTAGAGGAATTCAAGAGGTTCTATCTTCAGGTCTGTTTGAAACATTTTTTCTTTTATTCTTTTCTTCAGTTATCAACTGCAGTTCCTTTATGTATATACTTGTTTCTTTTCTTTTGAGAGTGAACTTGTTGAATTTGCAATTAATCATTGACACCACTCATTCAACATTTTTCTTGAACGAGTGCCATTATTAATATGAGAGTCTATTGATATCGAAGACCTTAATCTTCTTTCTTTATCTATTCTGTTTCAAAATGAAACCATTCATTTTGAAAACAAAGAGCAATTAGTCAAGTCCGACAACGGTTTTTCCAACAAGCTTTATAAGGAGCTCTAGGATCTCTAAATGGTTCTTTGAACAACAAGACATTTATGTACCATTAGCTCTAATTTTGAAACTATTCACTGAAATTCTGTTGCATTCTTAGCTTCTAATAAAATAAAATAGTTAATGGAATATGTACCTGGGAATGCAATGTTGATTGGAACAAGTTTGGGTGTGAGTTAAATATCGATTTACTTCCACACAGGAGTAAAAAACAGGGATAGTAGATAATTTAGGTATTTAGTCATCGTGTCTATGTCGTACTGTTCAAGGTGATAATTATTGATCTGCTTTGCAATCCCTTAATGGAATGAAGTGCTTGCATTGTTGAAGATGTAAATGGTATGATGAAATGGACGAAATTTTAATTTACAGTGACAATTTTGTGGACGAGCAATAATTACATGTAAATCTCTCATGATATTGATTAAATTATAGAAACCTTTCCCCGGAGAGCCTCCACTGATTTTATTTTGAAAACAACCTGTCTGCCTATTCAGTTCCATGCACCTGCTGTTGTTGTGTTACTGTAGTCAAAGTACAAATACCTGTCTGACTACCCTGCCACACTGCCATCTGAATAAGGAGAAGTTGTACTCTTGCCCTGTACAGAGCTATGGATGCTTCTCCTATATTTAAAGAAATATCTCTGCTCAAAATCTTAATGAATCTGCTAATAAGAAGTGTTTTTCTAGGATTTAAAACTTTGTATTTTTAGTTAAAAAAAAAAATCCATCTTTCCCTCTGAGAGACCAGTTGACAATTTGCAGTTCTTTATTCTGATATTTCAGTACTCATTTCCTCCATCATGTGTTGGAGAGGTTGGACGAATGGGAGCGCCTAGTAGAAGAGAAATTGGACACGGTACTCTTGCAGAGAGAGCTCTTGAGCCTATATTGCCTAGTGAAGATGAATTTCCTTACACCATACGTGTTGAAAGTACCATTACTGAAAGCAATGGCTCATCAAGGTGTTTTTTTTTTTTTGAAATTTAAGAGTGTGTCAAAATGCTTTCATGCTCTTTTCTGCAACCAACACCTCTGTTTCCATTAAGAGCTGCATGTCAAGTGTTTTATTGTGTGATATTAAATATGACGTTTTGTTGCATAACAGCATGGCATCTGTTTGTGGAGGTTGCTTGGCATTGCAAGATGCGGGTGTTCCACTAAAGTGCTCTATTGCTGGGATAGCAATGGGTATGGTTTTGGACACAAAAGAATTCGGGGGAGATGGTACACCACTTATTCTTTCTGACATTACTGGATCTGAAGATGCATCTGGAGATATGGATTTTAAGGTCATCTTCATGGATTTTCCTTGTGATTTGTAGTCTAGTTTGTTCAATTGAAGTTTCTTAGAAGATAGAATTTGTTCATGTCCCTCTCAAAACTGGTAAGCTAAAGATAAAAATTAAACAAATTACCTTATGAAAAATTTCTGTTGCAGGTTGCTGGAACTGAAGATGGCATAACTGCATTTCAGATGGACATAAAGGTCATTGAACATCTACAACTCTCATCCCTTTATGAACAATGGTCATTTTAGCTTTGGTGACAGCAAACCCTTTGCACTTCAATCTGTCCTTCTGGTCCCACTTACTGATATGTGTTTCCTGCCTTTTGTCAGTTAAACATGATAATTGTAGATCAAAATAGATGATAATTATTCTTCTTTGACAGGTAGGAGGGATCACCTTACCTGTCATGAAAGAGGCACTCCTACAGGCAAGGGATGGTCGGAGACGTGTTCTTGGTAACGTGCACTAGTATTCTTTCTCTGAACTCTTTAACCTTTTTGAGTTAATATTTTGAGCCATTTAATTGTCTATTAACGGTATGATAAAGCGTAGAACTTCTCATGTGACTCTTATGCATTGAAGGTTGTTGGATGGCACATTGATATGTTTAATTGTATGTTCATTAAGAATGTCTTTTCTCTTTTCCTATATCTCATCTCTTATTAAGAATGTCTCATTTTACATTAATTCTCTCTCTTAAAGATTTGTGGGACTGGTATTTACTATGCGTTCTGGATGAATTGTGCCACAATTACTTTAAATCTGTCGATTATGTATTCTTCAGTCTCAAATGTATGTCAAACATGAACATGGCCTGAGTGTCTAATCTTGGATGCTGCCACACAACCATCTATTGACTTGTTTTCAAAATGTATTCTTTTTTAAAGATTAATGGAGCACTTGGATTGCCTTTCAAGTAATCAATTGCAGATACATGAGCTTTTTTTTTTTCTTTGGGGTGGAGAGTACTGTGTGATTATTGACATCATTTAGCTGTAGAAATGCTATCCCAGAAATTGTAGATATGATTTTTTTTTTGTCCTTGTTTAAATTAATTTGCTCCTTTTTGTTTTGGTCTCTTGTTTTCGATTGAAATATCTAGGTGAGATGTTGAAATGTTCACCTCCTCCCGCAAAAAGTCTCTCTAAGTATGCTCCACTTATTCACATCATGAAGGTCTGTTCATCTTTCAGAGACCCATCCTTTCCTGCTGTTTGTGATAACTGATGGTCTGCAGTGTCTAATGTGTTCCATGCCCTTTATAATGGCATTTTCAGGTTGCTCCTGACAAAGTTAACGTTATTATCGGTTCTGGTGGGAAGAAGGTAAAAAGCATTATTGAAGAAACTGGAGTAGAGGCTATTGACACACAAGATGATGGAATTGTAAGATCCTACGTGACCTTACTTTTCGTTGAATTGACGTGATTATTTCACTACACATTGTTTCTTATCTATGTTTTTAACAGGTAAAAATCACTGCAAAGGATTTATCAAGTCTGGAGAAGTCCAAATCCATTATTAGAAATCTGACAATGGTTCCAACTGTTGGTGATATTTACAGGTATCTCTTTCCTTTACCATTTTATTTTCCTCTCTTCATATAAACCTGAGAACACAGTTAAAATTTCTATCATTATTCTGCAATAAAGATATCCTTAAATTACATAGAGGAGATGTGCATGATGAAGGCTTAAGCATTGTTTCTGTTTGTGAAAGTACGTGTCTGATTCCTTCAGTGGGCCTTGGAAACTGTTTTCGTATATCTGGATTGTTATTGGTGGGGAAGGGTGGCCCGGAGGGGGGGGGGGGGGGGGGGGGGGGGGGGGGTGTTGTGCGGGGTTTGTCAGGTTCTAAATTGTAGCAACATTTATTTACTGACATTTTTTCCCTCCTATATAACACTTTGGCAAAGCTTACAGATTGTTATGGGGAGTTTAGGGAACTAATTGTTGGTCATGGTTTTGTATGCTTGGGACCATCCTTCAATGTCAGATATCAGTTACCTCCCTGAAATGACCTACATAAAAGTCAGTGGTGCTACTAATTAATGTAGGCAACAAATTCTAAGCTGTGTTTTCTGTACCTGAAAAGTGTATCCTTTCTTGTTGCACTTGTTGCTTGTTAATATAAAGTTGGCAAAATTGAGTCTTTGTCCTCTTTTTAATCAGGAACTGTGAGATCAAATCAATTGCTCCATATGGAGTTTTTGTTGAGATAGCTCCAGGGCGTGAGGTATATACTTTTGTCCTATATACTAATGCACATTTTTTAGCAAAAGCTTGATATTTTAATGTCACTTTGCTTTTGAGTTTTGGTTTTACATATTAACTTTTAGTCTTCTTTAAGTCATATTTTCTTTTTTTTTTTTAATTTCTGTATATAATTGTTTAGTTGCCACTATTTCTTAGAATTCATAAGATGAGCATGACAAGTAATATCAAGGTTTTTGTGTTTTTGATCAATGCAATATTGTTGGTGATATCATTTGTTGTTGACACAGAATATTCGTGACTCTTCTTATAATTTAAAAATTATATGAATTCAAGCAGTGACTCATTTGAAATGGTGAATTAAGTGTCCTCTGGTGTATGAAGTACTGACAGATTGAAACAGGAATGTGTCTTAGATTTCTCTATAATGGAGTATGAGGAAGAAAGAATAGATTCAAATATATCACAAAATTTGTTTTCTCAGGGACTTTGCCATATTAGTGAGCTGACTTCAGACTGGTTGGCCAAGGCAGAAGATGTAAGCATAGTTTTTTTTCTCCTTCCAATTTCTTTTGCCTCACCTGACAGATGGGTTGATCACCTTGAACTTATTATTTGTTGTTATACTTTTGTGCTATTGTAGGCCTTTAAAGTTGGTGATCGTGTTGATGTTAAACTTATTGAGGTAAGCAACTTATTTTGTCTTGTCTGCAAGCTTAGATACAGTCATTAACTAAATATGGCAAACGCTGGTCGAATTAAAATTGATTTATCCACAAACAATATCATGCCAGCACATTACTAATTGTCACTTTGTATTGAAACCTTAATATTTCATGCATTGCGGTGCTGGGTTTCTACTGCTTATTATGTTGATGATTATCATATCTTTACTCTCCTACATTTTTTCTTTTTGAATCTAAGGTCATCTTGATTGCGATGTTTTAGCCATAGTTCCTATTGACCTGTCTACACAATACGCATCCATTCTACTGGCTTCAGCTATATACTAGTACTAAATAATCCATGAGTTGATAAAAGTATTTTTGATAAAAATATCTCTGTTGATCATGTAAACCCATTCTAGAGCAAGATTGCAAGAGAATTCTCATTCTTCTTTCTCTGCGCTTTTTTCTTTCTTCAAAGAATATGTCTATTAATTGTGTCATCTAACGCAGGTTAATGATAAGGGACAGCTTCGCCTTAGCCGCCGTGCACTACTTCCTGTTCCTGAAACAAATTCAGAGGAACCTAGTTCAGAGCAGCTTACTGGCCATCAAGCTAAAATTATTACTGATTCCGGAAAAGCATCTGACAAAAGCATACCTGAAAAGTATGTGAATGTTCCCAAGTCTGATGCTTTAGCTCAAGAGAAGCTTGAACAGCCCAAAGATAAAGGAAGTGGTACAAAAATTTCAAGCTCATCCAAAAGTAGTTCTGCAGAGAATTCTCTGCTGCCACGAAAGAAGGTTTTTAAGAGATTAAAGAAGAGCACCAGTAAAGCTGTCACTGGTGTCTCTGGCAAAGATGGAGAGTAGTCAGTGATTGATTGGAAGTATTTTTTGCTTATAACATGAGGACAAGAAATTTTTTTATCTCCAATAACCGCGGTGAGGAAGGTGACAGCATAGCTTCCTCACTTAAGAAGAAGCAGAGGTATGGCCCACATACTTTCGTTTTTTTCTCTCTCTCGATCTCTCTACACATGCATGTGAAGCAGATACAGTTACGAAAAATCCTCTAGAAGAACAGCTTTCTAATCTTGCTGGTTGCATGTGATTCCCTCACAAGAGCTCTGGTCCTCATCCTGGGTTGACTATGGACTTAGTAGGTACTAATTGGGTAAAGATATTGAATTGCCTATGATGAGGTTGCGTAGGTGACATCAATTATAACTGGAAAAAGGCAAAAAGTGAAAGGCAATGAACATTATCATGTGTAGAATGCGTGGGCTGTCTCAAATGGATATAATGCCACTAGAACTGCAATACTAGTAAATCCACTGGATGAAATGGCTGGTCGATGCACTTTTCTGTTATCTGGATAGGTTTAAATAGCATGCAGATAAACTCTATCATGTATATCTTGTGCAATGGCTAATGTTTGATTCTTTGACAGGAGGAACATTCATCAGAACAGAACTGGAAGCGTGCACTTGGTTTGTGAAATACAAACTCAGGCGCCGGCAGAACCGAATGACATCTCACTTCCATATAAAATGTTTATTAAGAAGGCAAGGCAGATAAGCTGGCACAGCTTGATCTCAAGTTTTGCTGCAGTAAGAACATTTTGCTTGATGCTTAGAAATTTTTGATGTAGTGATTTTATACTCTATCCCTTACTTTTTTGTGAGTACAACTTCTTGATTTCTGTCTGCAATGGTCCTTTGTATATTTGTAATTGCACCATTGTAAGCCATTGTTGTTCTGTTGGGCCAAACTTTTTTGTGCATCTGAAGCTGTATTTTCATTGTTGACGGCATTTTTTTTTTCTGTCTTTTGGGACATGATTTAAGAGTGCAATTTTTTATTAAACTTCAAGTTATATTAGAAACATATCACTCATATCTTTTTAATTATGTATTTATTTTTAATTTGAAAAAAAGAATATTCTACCTCTACTCTTTTAAATAGGAAGATCATAAATCAACCAGTGAACAAAATGTTCTAATGTTCCTCTTTATCTTTTAGTTCTAGAAAGAAATTAAATTGTATTCATATATATAATTATCTAGATCTATTTAGAATTTCTATCAAATTACATCCATATCTTTAAGTATTATGCAATAAATTTTCAAAAAATAATATTTTTTAAAAGTTAACTGTTTCAACCTTCTTGACGTCATTTAACTTAAAAATTATTTTAAGTTTTTGAATTATTTAAAAAATTTATAAATTTTTATTTTTTTATTATGTTTAATTAAATTTGTGTATTTTTTATTTTAATACATATAATTTTTTATGATTAATTATTTTTAATCATTTGTCATTATGTCACGTGGTGATGACGTGGAATATTAAAATATCATTATAGATTATAAAATGATTTGTCAACATAGAGTAATGAGATGTGAAAAAATAAGATGTCATGATAAATAATAAAATGATTTATTGATGTTGTATAATGATATGATTATATGATATCTTTATTTACATATAAATATAATATAACGTAAAAAATTATAAAATATTTTAACAAATTGTAATTAATAAATCATTGGTTATAAGAGTTTATTAATTTAAAATAAAAATATAAAAATTTAATTAAATATAATAAAAAATAATTATTTATTTAAATTTTTAAAAAAATTAAAAAAAATTAAATCTTCAATAAAAAAATGATAAAAGAATAAATTATCTTATTATAAGTTCAAAAAATTACTTGTATGTAATAAAAAATTAAAAATTATTACAATAAATCTCCGTAAAAAGAAAAAATTAGTAGATCAATGTAAATGGTACTAGTAAATGGTACATAATTAGTAACGAGGACTTTATCATATCAACCAAAAATCAAAATCATTTATATTTGATTTAACAATTTTAATTTTGTAAATAATATCTCTCATTTTGATTATTTGGTTAAATGAACATCATAAGAAGAGTTTTTTTATTTTATCGATAAAATGATAGAAAGGGTCTATTTATGTAACAAATTCTCCTAATAACAATACAAAAAATTGTTTTTTACTTTTATTTAATTTTTATATAAATTAGATTGATTTGTCATCTATTCACACTCAATATGTAAAGATCGAATGGAGGTCAAAGTCCAAACCCAAAAACATTTTATTTTCCTAAATTATAATATTTCAATTGACTTAACAGTTTCTATTCTTTAGTTTTTCCACTATATAAAGCCCAGCCGTCCTCTCCCTACTTGTTTCCCGCCACTTTCTCTCTTCTTCTTACTGTCTCTCATTTCCTCTTTCACTCAGACAAGCAAAAACAAGGAAAAATCTGAAAGATGTTGTGGGTAGATAAGTACAGACCCAAAACCCTTGACCAAGTTATGGTTCATCAAGACATTGCCCAAAATCTCAAAAAATTGGTACTAATTTTTTTTGGTTTACTTCTTTAAACACAATTCTATTTAGTTTTAAATGCCTATTTTCTCTCTCTTTTTTTTCTTTAATTGATTCAATTAATGGTTTTTTTCTCGAATTAAACAGGTTACAGAGCAAGATTGCCCACATTTACTCTTCTATGGGCCATCTGGGTCTGGCAAGAAAACCCTAATTATGGCTCTTCTTAGACAGATCTTTGGTCCCAGTGTTGAAAAGGTCTACTCTTTTATTTTATATATTTTTGGAAAAAAATTTCATTTTTTTTCACCTTTTGACCCAATTTTGGTTTTTTGCTTAATTAATGCTTGGTAAGTTGAGAAAATTTTAAGTACTATGATGAAATTTGAGGTCATTGAAATGTTATGGTTTGTGAATAAAATGAATAAACGGGAAAATAATTTCTTTTTTCAGTTTTAAGCTGGCCTTTTCATGGAATTGAGAAAGGAATGTGTATCGAGCTGTTTTAGATTGAACTAATGACTTTCTCTATTTTCTGGCTTTTCTTATATTTGAACTGAGGGTTTTTTTAATTTTTTTGGTTGCAGGTGAAAGTGGAGAATAGGAATTGGAAAATTGATGTAAGTCTCACATGTATATCAAAAGTTTTTAATATTGTTAAAAAAATTTTCAGTTTACTGTCAAGTCGGTAAACATATGTCGGATTTCTTATTAAGTTTCTTTAGCAGTTTGAAATCAGTCTTTAAATGCCTTTGAAGGGATGAAACCTGTTTAAATGTTTTAGTACTTGCTTCTTCTCACCTTCTTCTTCTTCTTGAAAAGTTAGAAAAAAAAAAGGATATAAATAGTGATTTTAATGGGAAAACTTGCTCAATGGTTCAGGAGACCTTTATGCTTGTTTTTAAATTTACTGTTAATTATTTGGTATGCTGCAGAATGGAGCTTATTGTTTGTTGAGCATTCATAATCAATACCATTATTAATTTGTATCTCTGCCCTGTTTCTCCCTTCATGTCTCTAACTTGGCATCGCTTTCTTTTAATTTCATTTCAGAGTGGAAGCAGAACCATTGATCTGGAGTTGACCACATTATCAAGCACCAACCATGTGGAGTTGAGTCCAAGTGATGTAGGCTTTCGGGACAGATATGTAGTTCAGGAGATAATTAAAGAAATGGCTAAGAATAGACCAATTGACACCAAAGGGAGAAAAGGATATAAAGGTAATTCTGATAATTGATTTCTTTCCCCTCTAAATAAACCCCAGTTAGAAATATTTCTCTCTTTTAGAATCCGGTGTTCAAATATGTCTTGAAAGGAGCGCCAATATGTATCTGTAGTAGTTCTCTGGACTTAATGTTCATTTATGTTTCCCTTCATGTTTATAACTTCTTCTTGATGCTCATTTCAAGTTGGTAGGTTTGTTTCTCTTTTTAAAATCAGAGTAATTGTATATAATTTCACCATTATTCTGACATGATCTCTTATGAATGTCAGTGTTAGTACTCAATGAAGTTGACAAGCTTTCAAGAGAAGCCCAACATTCTCTTCGAAGAACAATGGAGAAGTATAGTGCTTCTTGCCGGCTAATTTTGTGTTGTAATAGTTCTTCAAAAGTCACTGAGGCCATCCGTTCTCGTTGTCTGAATATCCGAGTAAATTCACCTTTGGAAGAGCAGGTTGGGAGATTTTATTGTTTTTTATTCATATTTGACAGTATACATAAATAAATTCAGTGGCACATTCCTTAAAGTCTTTGCCACCACATTGTAAAAGGTTATCACCATTAGACTTATCATGTTTATACTCACGTTATTTTCCATGAAAGAATCTTCGTTCTCTCCCTGTCTGGCTTCTTATGGTGAATTGACTTGTTTCTGTGGAATTCTCTATGTTAGATTATTAAGGTGTTGGAGTTTGTTGGAAAGAAAGAAGGGTTGCAACTTCCATCTGGTTTTGCAGCTCGCATTGCAGAAAAGTCAAATCGGAGTTTAAGAAGAGCTATATTGTCATTTGAGACTTGCCGCGTTCAACAGTTAAGCTCCTTGTTATCTTTTAGAGATAATTTTGGTGTCATGGAAACCAGCTTGGTTGTCTTCATCAGATTACCTAAGAAAACAACGTAGGAGACTTCCTTATATCTGTGTTTCGTGTTGTTTCCTGATTATAGGTACCCTTTCACAAGCAGCCAAGCAATTCCACCAATGGATTGGGAGGAATATATATCCGAAATAGCAACTGACATAATGAAGGAGCAGAGCCCTAAAAGGTTTGTTTTTTATGCATCTTATACTATATAAGTGTTCTGTTAGTAAAATTGCTGCAAGAATTACATAATTCCTTTAAGTTTTAATACATTTTTGGTTAGTACATTAGTTAGTCAGTTGCTTAAAGTGCAGCAACTGCTGAAGTTCTGGCCTCAAAGATATTAGAGGTTTTATATATTTCTTGTTTCTAAAAAATGAGAAAGCACATCTACTTGGAAGGATGAGTAAAAGTGGGTGAGGAAATGAAATGTCCTTTATTGTAGTTTTCTATAGACCTGCTTCAAACTTTTTATTTAACCTTTCTTTTATGCTATAGGCTTTTTCAGGTTCGAGGGAAGGTATATGAATTGCTTAGTAATTGCATCCCTCCAGAGATAATTTTGAAGGTAAACACAGCCCCGCATTATGTGGTAGCTTGATTCTTTCTCCAATTAAAGTGTTTTTCCTCACTGTCTCAGAGGCTCCTTCATGAATTATTGAAGAAATTGGATGCAGAACTAAAGCATGAAATGTGCCATTGGGCTGCATATTATGTAAGTTTGCTAGTGTTTCTTATCTGACCCACTTTATAGTGGCTGTTGTTCCTTTCGCTTCTGGTGGGCCGGGCAGTCTGTTTTACCTTTCTCTTACTAACCATAAATACCTTATTGCTTGTTGGTCAATATGACTGATTATCACATTTTGCTTTATAGCTAAGAATCATTGGCATATTGAGCTCAATTCTCTACTCAATTCCTTGACCTCCACAAGAAGCCAATCTGCTGACACCCTTGGATGTTTCCCTCCAATTTGCAAACCCCAAAATGAAAGAATAAAAGAGAAAGAATGTCGTTTCCATCATACATTCATGCTGTTATTAAATTGCAAAATTTGAACAAATAATTGGGAAGACATTAAAGAATCACGTAATTTACACCTAATCTCTATTTCTCACTGGTCCAAATTGTGATTGGTTATGCTTGGAATGGATACTGCCTATCATAAGTGGTGCATTACAAACTGCCAGGAGATGTTTGGTAGAAGTTCCAATTTAATGTGAAGGAGTGACAATTTTCAATGTATGTAAATCTCGGGAATATACTAGTGGTGAGCTAAGATATTCTTAAGATGAGACCTAATGCTATGTTCTACAGAAAATGGTGAAATTCACGAGGCTTCAACCTGCTTAATAGAAGAAATGCCACTGAATTTAACTCGTGCTCTATTTTGTTTATACTAATATCTTAACTCCCCAATTTCTTTTACTTTTACAGGAACATAGGATGCGTCTTGGACAGAAAGCCATCTTTCACATTGAAGGTACATAAAACTTTCTGTGTTGGTATTGACTAAGTTCTTATTTCATTTGTTGAAATCACTAAATTGTCCTTGGAGCAAGATTGATGTTTGTGAATGGGAGAACAAATTTTGGTTCTACCTAGCCTTCAACTTTCCTAAAACAAAAATCTCAATGGATTGGGATTGGTATACTGATGTCTACATCAGATTGCTGCATCAGGGCATGTTTCCTTGAAATTTTCTTGGGCTACCGGTGATTTATTCACCCCTATTTTGTCATTCTTTCAATGATATGCAACTTATATTTTTACACTAATGTGAACTTTAGCACAAGATTGAATGTAGTTTCTCACTCCCTTCTGGAGACATTCTTTGACAATTTTGAGCGTTTATCCAATTGTGCGTAGGCTTGGAAATGACAAAGAGTTGGCTGAATTGTAAATCAGTATCTTATCTTTAGAGGTCAAGATATCAATATTTGGTTGATAGAGATGTCTTTAAAAATATTCCAATTGTCTGACTAGTTTATTTGTCTCCTTTCTGATATTTGCAAAGAGTTAACGCTTAGGCAGCTGCACAACACAAGTCTTGGGTTGTTTTCTTTTGATCAATTTTGTTCTTATGTTGTTCTTCTTGATTAAATTTGTAGCATTTGTTGCCAAGTTCATGAGCATTTACAAGGCTTTCTTGATTGCAACCTTCGGCTGAAGAATAAACGAGCATCTCGCCAGGTGATCTTTAAACGCCATTTTGCAGAACCTGGCAGAATCTGGTTATCAAGTTTCCAGCGCTCTGTTGAGGCAGCTTGTCATTTTGTTCTTGAAATGTGTTATATGACCTGTTGGCATTCTTGTTCTCATGACTAATGAGCTTCACTTGTACCTCTCTTGTCTTCTCACCTTTCCATATGATCTTCAGTTACCTTTGTTTTCAGTTCAACTTTATCTTGTGCTTCACTTTCCAAGACATGGACATGATCTGACAGATAATAGAACTGATTCCGGTCGTAACAATAATTGTGAGGTGCAAGTAGTAACTTGCAAAATGAAGGGAGATTTCTCAAACAGAAGTAATACACAATATTTCCGTAACAAGAAGCATATAAAATTTGAGGTTTGAGAATGGTACGAGAGAAAATAAAAATTACTTATTGATGAGGATGGCATTCTGTGTGGGATTGACATGGTATAAAAATTATACATCATCGATATGCCAAATATAAATCTTATATATATATATATATATATATATAGTATTGAATCATTATTTGAACTATAACAGAATTATTTTTAAATTATTTTATTATTTAGTAATGTATCTAAATTGAAAAAAAAAATTTAAATAAATAATTTTTGTTAATTTAATAGTTAAAATAGTAAGCTTGCAAAAATTATTTGGCATTTCTAATCACTCCATTCACGATTATAATTATTATAACATCATATGTAAATAAGTGTATTTTTCAAAATTAAATAAACAAAAAGGTCCTTTCTATATCTTCGATGAAAAATAAATAAATAAATAAAAAGATCCTTTCAAACATGAACTCTAGGCTGCCTAGCCCATATAATTTATAAAGGCCATTTCCTCGGTTTTCATTTTCTGTTTTTGGCTAATACCATTTTTTTTTTATAATTACAGTGGTTGGTTATGCCATTAATTTTATTAAATTATATTATCAAAATATTCAAAAATATTTTATTTATTTACACGTGGTTTTTTTTGTTTAACCCCATCCATAGAGATCGGGTTTTCTTTTAGCTTATAAAGTAATTTCTCTTCCCAATCAGCATTTGTTTATTTCTCTGAAATCCATTTCTCTATCGGACAAGCTCGCCTTCAGGTAATTCGATTTTAGGGTTTCGATCATTATTTTCTGCCGGAACTTCGTACGTTTTGTGTTTCTTTACCATTTTCTTTAATTAGTTCCTTGTTCTTCATCTGCAGTTTGTCGTTTGGTTACTAAGAAAAAGTAGGAAAACCAGAAAGAAGAGTAAAAAAAAATGTCGGTCACGGCAGGTGTTAGTGATACTATTATAGCAATTAGGGATAAACTTAGGGGAAAAATTGGACAAACAAAAGTTAAAAGATACTGGCCTGGGAAAGCTCCTGAGTGGGCTGACGATGCCGATGAAGATGGCGATATTAGGATGGCTAGGGCTGTTGCTTTAGAAAAAGCCTTTCCTAGTCGTGATGATTCAGATGTTGTTAGAAAAGATGATCCTAGGTTACGTCGTTTGGCTGAGAGTAGGATTGATAATAGGGATGAAATTAGGGCTGATCATAGACGTATTAGGCAAGCGGAGATTGTGTCTACGGAGGAGGAGGAGAATAGGAGGAATGAAGGGTGGAGGCAGAGGAAGAAGATGAGGATGCGTTGGAGGAGAGGAGGAGAAGGATTAGGGAGAAGTTGCTTCAGAGGGAACAAGAGGAAACGGCATTGTTGGAGGAGGAGGAGGAGAAGAAGAAGTGGAGGAAGAAAGAGAGGAAGAGTCAGAGTATGAGACAGATTCGGAAGAGAACATACGGGGATTGCAATGGTGAAGCCGGTTTTTGTGCCAAAGTCAGAGAGAGATACGATAGCTGAGCGTGAACGGTTGGAGGCAGAAGAACGGGCTATTGAGGAGGCGGAGAAGAGGAAGTTGGAACATAGGAAGGTTGAGACAAGGCAAATTGTGGTTGAGAAGATTAGGGAGATGAAGAGATTCAGAAGAATATGGAATTGGAGGCGAAGTGGCTGATGTGGATACTGATGATGAGGTCAATGAGGCAGAGGAGTATGAAGCTTGGAAGGCAAGAGAGATTGCTAGGATTAAGAGGGATAGAGAGGAAAGGGAAGCAATGATAAAGGAGAAGGAAGAGATTGAGAAGGTTAGAAATATGACGGAGGAAGAGAGGCGGGAATGGGAGAGAAAGAATCCGAAACCTGCTCCACCACCTAAGCAAAAGTGGAAGTTTATGCAGAAGTATTACCACAAGGGTGCTTTCTTCCAGGAAGAAGCTGATGATCCTGCTACATCTGTTGGAGCAGACAATATTTATCATCGTGATTTCTCTGCCCCGACAGGTGAGGACAAGATGGACAAGACCATATTGCCTAAGGTTATGCAGGTCAAGCATTTCGGTCGTAGTGGCAGAACCAAATGGACCCATCTTGTCAATGAGGATACAACTGATTGGAACAATCCGTATGTTCTCCTTAATTCTGTCTTTTTATCTCTTCCAAATTGATATTCCCTTAAAAGGTTAATTTCTCTGATGTTTTACATTAAGTCTTGCTCAAGAAGTTGCCATTCTGTACTACCAGCTTAGTTATCTTCAATCTAAAGCGGCTTATAATTTGTTGAATATGCCCTAAGCATTTAATATTAACTGAAGAACACAGTCAGAGTGAACAGTATCGATGAATATAATTTATGGCTTGAAGGAAGAAGTGTTAATTTTTAGTAACTAAAGCTTGTTTCTAGGAGGCACAGCAAAGAAACCTTGATGGAATTTATATCATGTTTGCTGATTTGTTTACTCTAATTATTCACTTCTGGGATGAGTTTTTCGGGTTTTTGTTGGATGCACAGAATTCTCTAGAAGATATTATTGGCTTCTTTTTAGTTGCAATTTTGATACTGTATGAGTCTCTTGGAGAGTATTAATCCACTCATATTGAATTTCTTCATACTCCATATGACACTTCTTGCCTTAAATTCCTCCATTTTGAATGATGCTAGTTAACATGCATGAAGTAAATCTGCTTAGTTTCTGACATGATCATCTGAACTGAAATTTAGCATGCCACAAGTTGAATGGTATAATCAATAAAAAGAAGAGGTACAGAAACAGGGAATAGTAGATAATGAGTATGCTTCCTATCAATCAATTAAATCTTTTATTTGAAGAAAATAATCTCTAGAATGGCCCTTAAATTGTAATTTCATGGATGTGTGGGATTGGAACCCTAGAGATGTGCCCTTTGAACATTTGATATGGCTGATGTTACTCTTTTGCATAACCTCTAAAGATAAG